GTCATTCGCATTGTCAGATTTTTGAAATTCGTTTTGGTTCGACATTCTGCTATTTCATAATTCTTTCATTGTCATGTCATCCATCTTCCATTTCTTACCTTCCATTGCCGTTCGCATCGTCGAAGGTGCCTGTCAAACACTGCCGCCATCATGCTTTTCAGTTTGGCAGGCACGTCCGCTGTTAGAAAGAGAATAGACAAAAAGGGGCATAGGATTCCATACTTGTAAGTATATACGATGGTATACATGTGTCGACGTCGCAGCAAGCAGCATTTTGAAGCCCAATCACATGGTGATTGCTCATTAGAAAAAAAAAAAATTTTTTTTCAAATTCTAAAACAATCATTTTAATCTTTGATTCATGGTACGTCACAATACGAATGCGCTTCCTTGTTTGTAAATAAAACAATCTACCTTTTGTATAATATTGTTCTTTTGCTAATACATTTTTTTGTTTTATTTACAGTTTGACCATGTCTTCTCGTAAAACTGCTGGTCGCCGCGCCACTACAAAAAAGCGAGCACAACGAGCCACTTCAAATGTGTTTGCTATGTTCGATCAAGCGCAAATTGCCGAATTTAAAGAAGCATTTAATATGATTGATCAAAATAGAGATGGATTCGTGGAAAAGGAAGACCTACATGACATGTTGGCATCCCTGGGTAAAAATCCCACAGATGAATATCTAGAAGCTATGATGAACGAAGCACCAGGTCCTATAAACTTCACCATGTTCCTGACTTTGTTTGGAGAACGCCTACAAGGAACGGATCCAGAAGATGTAATAAAAAATGCGTTTGGTTGTTTTGATGAAGAGAATACAGGAGTATTGCCTGAAGATCGTTTGCGTGAGCTTTTAACAACCATGGGAGATCGTTTTACGGATGAAGATGTAAGTATTTTTACAAGCTTTTATTTTATTTGCCACTTACGTATAGTGGTAATTTTCTAATCGGTTTTAAACATACAGTGTAAGTTTCAAGACGCCAGAAAATCGCGTTCGTTTTTAATATCCTTTTTTTGCTGGCGCTGCTAGGCATTTTATTCTATATAAAAAGAAATTTTGAGTATTTATATGGAAGAAAATGCGTCTTGAAACTTACTTAAATTTAATGGGCTATATATTTCCCAAAAATTGTAGCAAGCATCTTTTCGCTCTCAGCTGCAGGCACAAATGTAAGCTTGGTAATACAAAACTAAAATTTGTGTCAACATGTTAACATTTTGACACTTTCTGGAATCTAACCAATAACAGCCAGCACCCCTGCAAATTCAGCTACAGCCTAAGGTATGTAAACATACATTTCTTACAATCATTCAAATAACTTTGATTTCAGATTGAAAACACATTTCTTTGCCAATAATTCAAAATCGCGACCATGGTAAAACCAAAAGGACTGTTAAAAACATCTTGTAACTTTTTTCATCTGTCCATTTTATAACTGGTTCGAAACTATAGAAAACGGGGTGCAAAGCGCTTGTTTTTAACAGTCCTTTTGGTTTTACCATGGTAGCGATTTTTAATTATTTGCAAAGAAATGTGTTTTCAATCTGAAATCAAAGTTATTTGAATGATTGTAAGAAATGTACGTTTACATACCTTTGGCTGTAGCTGAATTTGCAGGGGTGCTGGCTGTTATTGGTTAGATTCCAGAAAGTCCCAAAATGTTAACATGTTGACACAAATTTTAGTTTTGTATTACCAAGCTATGAAAAAAGATCTGCGAAGTGCAGACTGAGAGCGTATTTGAACGAAAAACCCGCAAAGCAAAAGTCTATTTAAAGTAAACAAGCCCCCCGCTGCATCCCTTTTCGGTTGTTCCGAACTAGTCCAAAATTCGCCATATGAGATCTAGTTCGTTCTGCATCCCTTTTTCTATACTTAGTTTCGAACCAGTTCTAAATTCGTCATTTTAGATATAGATTTCTAGTTCTGCTTTTGAACTGGTGGCGATCTAGTTACTATCGGACTGGTTCGTGGTGGCGATAAAGATCTAGTACGGAACTACAAATTTGGTCCACCAGTTCGGGGTTTCCCTACAGGGTAATATTCGGGTTGAACATGTAACAATCGAGACTATCAGCCCAATTCTTAATACTCCCGGGGAGTTTGTTCTCCGGGAATTTGTTTCTCCCGAGAAAGAAATCCTCCAATAATTAACTCCCAGGGAGTAGCATTTTCCCGAAAATTTGGAAGGAGGAAATTTGAATTTCAAAAAAACTGTTCGACACTTTTTTGAGAGCTCATCTCCGCCCTTTAATATAAAAAATCGTCAGGGAATTTCTATTCATGATAGGAGGAAAGGGAAAAGAGAGAAAACTCCCAGGGAGTTTCTGTTCAGAATCGGCCTGTATATATAGGTTTTTATTTAATTTTTCGTTCCAGGTGGCTTTAAGAGCGTTAAAAACTAAATTCGGCACATCTACATCAACTCATCTTTCATTTGATTTGAGTTTCATTTAAATCAATGGGGATTAAGTACCTCAAAAGTGTACCACAAAAATCATGTTTGCGTATTAATATATAAGATATAAGATGTCATGTTGCTTCTCTAACTGATATTCGGGCTGAACTTCTACCAATCAGGACTGTAAATAGTTTTTTTTGTAATATTTTGCTCAAAGTGGCTCTTAGAAGGTTAAAAACTAAATTCGACACATCTGCACCACCTCCTCTTTCTTTTGATATGAGTTTCATGAAAATAAATGGGGATTAACATGAACCAACTAACAAGATCACGCAATCGGAAAAGAATGAAAAAAGTAAATTTCTGAGCGTTTTTGACATCTGCCTAAAAATGAAAACAAACAAAGAAAACGAAAAAGGCGCGGTTATTGAGTGCGATTAGATTTGTATTTATTATAAAATATAAAAAGTGAAACTTGATGACAATCAGCAAAAAAAGTCCATAAAATATGGTTTTAATGATTGAGAGTGTTTTACAATCGCATATTATCGGCACCGGCCGATTTTTCAATGCCAACGTTCTGACCACAAATGTGCACCCACTTTTCACGCAAATTTACGCCTCTTGGCAAATCAAACAGACGCACAAACTTGTTCCAATCACAAAGCACTTCATATTATATCATAAATTTGTAATAAATCAAAATTTCTAATTAAAACCGCTGCAGAAAACACATAAAATCGCTAAAATATCACTACGAAGAGGTAGAAGACGATGTAAACAGAACCAAAAAACATCAAAAACGCTACGAAAACTTTTTTCTGAAAATCGATTACAAATACAACGATGGCGGATTACGTGATCTGTAGTCGTTGGTTCATGGTAGATTAAGTACCTCAAAAGTGTACGAAAAAAATCATGTTTGCGTATTAATATATAAGATATGAGAACATATTGCATAACTCGACTTGGGAGGCACCTATCGGGCTCACTTTTGGCAGGTGTATTTATCCTTATGTGGCGAATATATATTCTGAGTTTGAAGCAAATCAGATCAGAGATTAGTATAGCTCGACCCCTGCGCCACCTATCGCAAAAGTTAAAAGTTTGTGCACTCCTCCGAAACACCTTTCCAACAAAGCAACAACCATCCGAATCGGTTAAGAAACATAGGAGAAATTTGTTCCCAACTAATTCATGCTTGCCTATTTATACAGGGTGTCCCAGAAGTAACGTGCCAAACTTTAGGGGAAGGTAGGTGGGGGTGAGCTCCCTGATAAACAAAAAGTTTTCGGGTAAAAGTGTCACCGTTTTTGAAATATTTACATTTTTTGAATAAAAAAAATCGTGCCTTTTCAGGCTATACATAGTAATTTTTTTATGTATAATACTTCCATATAGTTGCTTCTCCATACTCAAATGTAATGTAGTTAAAATATATTTAGGAACCATCATAAAATTAGGACTATTTTGGGATTTTTAATTTTTGATATTTTCTTCCCCAACTTTGACTATCTCTGGTGAAAAAAAATGTACTGAGCTGTAACTGTATATTACATAAAAAAATTGCTAATTTAATAAAGATTTCAGAAAGGTGCCACTCTTACTGTTTCGAATAGAAAAAAAAAGTTATAGCCGCTTTTGTGGGCAAAGGACTGAGAACACGCTAGAATGTATTTAATAGATTTAAATTTAAGAGCTTTGTGAACTGTAATTTTTGGTATTCCCGTCCGTCTTTCCATCATTCTCACTGAAGTCGATGGACCTAGTTCCACCTCCTCTAACACAACTTCAACATCTACCGTTGCAGGACGTCCTGTTGCGACCTTAAAAAAGTGAAAAATGATAGTTAACAAGCAAGAAAACAAGAAAAGTGTAAAAATCACTTACCTTCATATATTTCTCTATGGGTCCGGGCGAATACTTCACGACCCGGATGCCGACGATTGGGGTATCACTCTGCATAGAGTCTTTGAGCAGCTCTGGCATTACAGCAAGCTTCACCGTAAATTAGGTGAATATCCGCATATTCATGCGACGTATACTGCGTGTTCTCTGTCATAGTATTAATAACACAATGTTCGAAGGGTCCAATTTCACAAAATCCACTTTCATTAATTCCGGTAAGTAACACAAAATAATGTCAAGAGCAGGTAATAATGTACCTTTGTACTATTTAGCATGTCATTTGACGGTAACAAGAGCAAATTCAATTTAAATCTATTAAATACATTCTAGCGTGTCTGTCCTTTGCCCACAAAAGCGGCTATAACTTTTTTTCTATTCGAAACAGTAAGAGTGGCACGATTCTGAAATCTTTATTAAATGGGCAATTTTTTTATATAATGTAAAGTTATAGCTCAGTACATTTTTTTCACCCGAGATAGTCAAAGTTGGGGAAGAAAATATCAAAAAGTTAAAAATCCCAAAATAGTCCTAATTTTATGATGGTTCCTTAATATATTTTAACTATATTGCATTTGAGTATGGAGAAGCAACTATATGGAAGTATTTTACATAAAAAATTTACTAAGTATAGCCTGGTTTGTAGATGCAGTTAAAGAAAATACATGAAAAGTCACGATTCTTTCTTTAATTCAAAATAATGTAAATATTTCAAAAACGGTGACCCTTTTACCTGAAAATATTTTGGTTATCAGAGCTTCAGTATCTTCTTTGAAAAGCAACAAAATTTAGAGGAATGGGAAGATATGCGCAATACATTTCCGCAGCTACATAAGCAAGCCCGTCTATACATAACGGTTGTTGGGTCATCTGTCCCTTGCGAGTGGCTTTTCTCAAAAACAGGTACAACTATATCAAAATCTCGAATCCGCCTTTCCGGAAAACACTTGGATGTTTTTGGGAAATATAACAAAAAAGGAGTTCTTTTCTTAAACTTATTATATACTAGCTTTTGCCCGCGGGTTTCGCCCCACGTCTTTATACAAACTCATTTATATAATCCTTAACATAAGCAACTACCATATATGACTTCATATCAAATTTCAAATTCATGCGACGTATGGTTCCGAAGTTATAGCTGAAACAAAATTCCAAGCCTACGAGATGTGCCACGCCCCCTTTTACAAACTCATTTATATAAACCTTACCATAAGCAACTACCATAGATACATATGACTTCACATACATAAAATTTCAAATTCAATGTGACTTATAGTTCCGAAGTTATAGCTGATAAAAAATTCCACGCCTAAGGGTGCCACGCCCTATTTAATAAACCTATCTATATATCTTACGATTAGGGATGTTGCGAATGTGGAATTTTAGACATCCGCGGATGCGAATGCGGATGTGGATGTTTAAAAGCTAACATCCGCTGATGCCGATGCGAATGCGGAGGTCATGTATTTTTAAGAAATAGTTTAGGTGGGTAAATTAGTTGATTTAGGTAAATAAAAAATGGAGACGTTAATAATTTTTAATAATCTGCCTTATCCTGAGTTTTGCCCGAAAAACAATT